GCTGTGCCGTAAGATGTTTCTTCGCACGATTTACCTGTCGCACTGTAACCAGTTGTACATAGAAGCTAGCAAATAAAAGTATTGGTAAATGTATGTAAAGTGTATAAAAGTATATACTAATTATTATATAGTATAGTATATAGTGTACAGTAATATGCAACAGCTAGGAAGTTCAAATTCAAGATTTTTCTATGCAGAGACACACTGGATTCTCCTGTATAGGTTTACGGAATCACTGTTCAGTGGTTCAATTTTGTCAAAAATGCAGTTAACCCTTCAAGACCTCTTCCAGTAGTGTGGTCATATCAGAAACATTGCAGCGTATTTCCGATGTGCATATCATTCGATCGTCCTAACGCAAACGGATCGAGAACTACATGTTTCAGTAATTAATTGTGTCGTCACGCCATGCGGTTTATGGAATGTAAATTTTATGGAGATAATAAAATAGAACCTCTTAAAATGTGTTTCGATTGATTAAACGAGTACGATTGATAATTTCACTTTCCATGGATCCCGAATCTGCCTCGATTTTTTAATTGGCGGATAAGTTTCAAACGGAGGAGTGGAGTGCCTGCGCGAATTACAGTCAGTGGCTCTAATTAAGCAGAATATTCCAGTTATGAACGATATGAAAGGTGAGACGATTGGCTGACACTGTTGTGGAAGCCATAGGCTGCCAGACGCTCACAGTGTCTCAGGCATGCGCTTTTAATCATAGGTATATTTTCGCTATATATCCAATCGAAAATGACAGAAGTGACAACCGTTGAAGAGCATTCTAAGTTGGCATATCTTCTTAAAATTTAGAACAACGCAACCTTACATGCCCCCCCCCGGAAGAATGCCGCTCGTTCTTCATGCCGAGATACCAGAGTTACGGTAGCATAGATATGAATTCGGGATGAATGCTGCAAGAGTGATTCTTAGAAACTATCGGTGAAACCATACAGAAAGAAATGGACTGCAAATCGACTGCATGATATTCGAATTATCCGTAAAGTCCCCCTGCATTTTATTTTTCTCTCAATAAAGGGGCTATGCCTTGTTGCTGTATTTTCGCGTTCGTCGCTTCACCTCGATACCGCAGTTTCGGCTTTGATATCCTTTAGGGGCGCTATTTCTAGTTGCTTTAAGATTTGAACTTGCCTGAGCCCAAATCGATGGTGCTCAGAAATTTTCAATGATCGTCTGTAACTGTAAATCTTAGCGCCTCGGCGGATTTCTGCTCTAAACCTTCATGACCCCCATTTTCGCTTCCAGAATTTGTCACTGACTAGACCTAAAGTTTCACAAATTTGAGCATAGTGGATTTTCTTGTGCTCAGATTTTTCCACATTTTTGTGACGCACCTCACGAAAGGTGTCGATATCCGCAGATATTGACCAGTCGTCATTTTGTTGCCTCAGATTTTATCCAAGATGGAACGAAGATGCGATTGTTCGTTGCTGCTTCCAGGGACCATTCCTCTGAGGTGATTGCATAAGCAGAACATATGGGGCTCTGTGTACGTACTCTCAACTCCCAACAGTGTCGCTCTCAGGAACCGGTTGCTGTATCGTAGCAAAAACTATTCTTCTCGAAACATTGATCGGCTTTTACTTTTTTCATCTAGGTTGCGTGGGACGTTTCGGTGATGTCTTCGTTGCCTCGGTTTTTAGGCGAGATGCTCGATGCTTGGAACGGAGTGTTTTTGAACCAGAGCCAACATTCACTTCTTCATCTTTGCCTCTACTGCTAATACATATGCTCGGAAGAGAAAACAGTCATTCCTCTTTAGCTACGGCATTCTACCAGTCAATCCTCATTATGCATCGAACAAAGCTCCGTTGTGCAGTGCTTAGCCGTTTTTTTTTCGGTGCTTTGTTATTACCAAGTTTCTACGCTATGCGGACACTTTTAACCAGCTGAAAAACCGTGTGGACGCAGTCTTAAGAAACGACGCCCTGCTAGCTTTCTCATAATTACTGTACAGGATGCTGAAGGCATCGAGGCAAGGGTTATTCTAATTATTGCATTTCATTCCATTCAGATTCAATGCCATTGACGATATCGGAACCGAAGTACGTAAATTAACAGATCTTCTCTAAAGGTTGCACCACGCTGCTGCAAAATAAAATCTCTAGTTGCATTCACACTAACTTCTGACTTCCATACCCTAAAGTAGAAGACACCATTCATAGCAAAATCGTGTCCTTAAACCGCCAGATGATGAAATTCGAGTCCTATTGACCGCTTGAATAGTATTACCTGTATGATTAACGTTGGTAACGTTAATGTTTTTCTCGGAATATTGAACACACCTCCCTGCTAAAATGAGATCCTCGACTTTTCCAGAGTCGGCACAGTTTCGAAGGAGGAAGTCGAGAACACGATTGAATCGCAATGCTGCAATCCATAGCGAAGTCCGCAGTTAATATGGAAGCACTCATGTCTTTCTCCTACGATATCAATGTCAAACAAATCAAGATTCGCGCTGGGAGGTGATATCTGATCACTGTTCCTGTCAAAATCATTATTGCTTATTCTTTCATCAAGTTGGATCTGGAGCCAAAGTTTCAGCATCGAACGTCAACAATCTGCCAAAGTGGCCACAGTTTCACTGGAGTATTTAATTACTACGCACGTCATGACGGACAACAATTACATTTCAATCATCAGATCTTCATTAAAGAATTCCGCCATGGCCGGTCCCC